TGGTCACCCCTATCCAGGAGTCTTGATTTCAATGGTCAAAGGCCCTTCCCACAGCTTATTAGTAATACAGACAGGCTTAGGTATGCCCTTGTCTTCAGAAAACTGGCTATGTTATTTGCAAAGCTCCATGCAAAATATTTTCAAAATTGTTATTCAAAAAATTAAGCAATTTCCAGTTGGTGACAGAACATGCAACCCCACAGGGGGCCTCCTGACTCTGGGGCCCTTTGTGACAGCACAGCCCGTGAACACGGTCCATCTCCAACTCGCACGACTCTTCCCACCCTGGTTCCACACGACAATCACCTGCAGAACTTTAGAAAGTAGAGATGCTCTCGTAGCTCCCCCGAGATTTCAAACACCAAAGAGGCTCTCAGGGGATCGCGGCAGGCAGGCGCGGTTGAGTGTTACTGGAGTAGAGCCTTAGGATGCCTTGGAAGACTGTCATGGCCCAACATCCACAAGCAGCAGGCAAAACTGTCCCCATAAAGCCCCGATAAGACAAATGCTTGTGAACGGAACACCTCAGGGTCTTTAGGACCCATATCACGTGCTTAATACCTCCGACCCCTGTGCGCCTGCCTTACCGTGCAGAGAGCAGAGGATGCTCATGGGTTCAGCATCTCCCCTTCCAGGTTTTAACCGGCACAGCCCGCTCCAGAGGAACCTGCTTCCCGGTGTCCTTTGTAGAGCTATGGTGTGTGACTAGGTGGGGAGGCAAGCAGCAGCTTATGTGTGACTTTCCAGCAGTGTTAAGGACAGGACCTGCTGTCCTGGTTGGAGCTTAAGGTGTCATCTGGGACTATGTGTTAAAGATGTGTGTGGTGGGGGCCATGGGAAGATACAAGTCATGATCCCTGCTGATCATAAGGCCACAGTACCTACATCTTGGTTATTCCTCCTCCCCCTACAAAAGAAAAAAAGCAAGCAGGGCTCAGGCGGTGGGGGAGACAGGCGGAGCCAACTTCTCTTAAGTCAGTAGATTGTATCATTAGGCCAAATGTCAGGCATGACCCATTTTACAGAAGAGCAAACAGACTCACGTGACATCCCTCTAGCTGAACAAGGCAGGGATTTCCCATCTTCAACTGCATTAGCTTATAACTAAAAAAAAAAGGTGGCTTCTCAGAGTAGAAGGATGGTTGCCAGGAGTTGGGGGAAACGGGGAGATGTTGATCAAAGGGCACAATCTTTGTCATGACATGAACAAATTTTGGGTTGTAAGGCACAGCATGGGTTGTGGCGGCTGTGTTGATCTGTGGTAGTCATTACACAATGCTTAGGTATTTCCAATCAACACATTATAGACACTGAATATATACAGACTTTGTCAGTTAAATATTTAAAAGAGGCAGCTTTTGGCCAGGCGCGGTGGCTCATGCCTATAATCCCAGCACTTTGGGAGGCCGAGGCAGGTGGATCACGACATCAGGAGTTCGAGACCAGCCTGGCCAACATAGTGAAACCTCGTCTCTACTAAAAATACAAAAAATTAGCAGGTCATGGTGGCAGGCATATGTAATTCCAGCTACTCAGGAGGCTGAGGTAGGAGAATTGCTTGAACCCAGGAGGCGGAGGTTGCCGTAAGCCGAGATCGCACCATTGGACTCCAGCCTGGGTGACAAGCGTGAAACTCCATCTCAAGGAAAAAAAAAAAGACTTCTAGGAAGTCACCACCCTAACCCAATTTATTACTGGGTCAAATTGTTATGTTTTAGAAGTTTCTTCCCCTTATCCTTCAGTTTCTGCATTTAAACGAGGGACGGGGGCTAGGTAGGGTGGGAGAGGCCATGGCCTCAGGCACACATTTAAGGTGGTATCCCATCTCAACTGATAAATACCATAATGCAACTTTTTAAAAACCAAAATGAATGCAAAAGAAACCTACAATGAACAGGATGTCAGAACTCTAATCACGGGATCCAACTCTGCTTGCACAGCCCTGACTTGCCCTAATCCCAGGCCAACTTTCCACAAAACTACGAAAACAAAGCAGATGACCTGCGAGGCCACCATTTGCCAATTGGCATTAAAATATTTTTTGGTGACTGAGTTCTCAGCACTCCCTTAAGTCTCATGTCCCAGGCGAGTGCCTCACCCTACAGAAAAACACCTGCAGACAGGTAAAGTTCTTACTGCAGTGCCTGGCTGAGTCATGATGGCAACCTGAATTGAGGCTCATCTGCTTTCTTAGAAGAGGTTAAATACGGGAGACAAATAAGCTATTTGTGCTCTGTAGTGTCTCGAAGGCAGCAAGAAAGCTTAAACAGAGGGGCAGGAGATCGCCTTGATTTCTGCTCTTCATGGGGATTTTACAAGCTGATCTGAGTAAAGATCGAAGGATCCAGTTTTCCCCAATACCTGACGGAAAACTCATCTGTCTGTGGCATGAAGCCACACCTTCCTTAAAGTGGCCCCATGAAATTTTTTTAAAGATGGAGTCGTATTGCTACCCAGGCTGGACTTGAACCCTTGGGCTCAAATAGTTCTTCCCAGCTCAGTCTCTCAAGTAGCTGGGACCATAGACACTCATTACTGATGCTGGCACAATTTCATGTTAACATTTCTCCCTTGCCTTTTATCCAAGGCCAATCACCCTGTTGCTTGTACTCAGGGGTTAACAGACTGGCCTTCCAAATCATGTTCTTTTTATAAATAAAGTTTTATTGGCCCACAGCCAAACCTATTTCCTTCCCTATTCTCTGTAGCTGCATTACAGTGGCTGAGTTGGAGCCTCGGTGCTATAACAGCAGGGGCAACAGAGCTGATGACAAGTAGGACCAGCAAAGCTCAAAACATTTACTATGGCCGGGCGCGGTGGCTCAAGCCTGTAATCCCAGTACTTTGGGAGGCCAAGATGGGCGGATCACGAGGTCAAGAGATCGAGACCATCCTGGCTAACATGGTGAAATCCCGTCTCTACTAAAAAATACAAAAAAAAAAAACCAAACAAAAAAACTAGCCAGGCAAGGTGGTGGGCGTCTGTAGTCCCAGCTACTTGGGAGGCTGAGGCAGGAGAACGGCATAAACCCGGGAGGTGGAGCTTGCAGTGAGCTGAGATCCGGCCACTGCACTCCAGCCTGGGCGACAGAGAAAGACTCTGTCTCAAAAAAAAAAAAAAAAAAAAAAAAAAAAAAAAAAAACCATTTACTATCTGGCCCTTAACTGGAAAAGTTTCTGGATCCCCGGGGCTCAGGTGAAGTCAAACTGCAAACACTCTGTTTCCTCGTCCAGATCCAGCAGGCTCTGCAAATGGAGGCTGGTGTAAGAACTGCCATTCTGGTGTGTGCCATGTTAGCTGCTTCTTTCTATTACGGCTGTTTTATTTGGTCATTACCTGTACATTTTAAGTCTCATTCTAGCAGGTTTAGCCAGTTCAGCCCCCACTTCTGAATGATTTAACTCCACTCACTGCCACCTTCTAATTTCCTAGAAACGGTCAGGTAAGACCACCCCTACTCCTAGAAGTTTCCTGGTCCTAGACTTCCCTCTGAGCCTACTTTTCTGAATGTCGGAATTCTTACCAGTCTCAAAAATTCTTTTCAGTTTCCCCAAGTTTTTTATAATACTCATTCAGCCTTATTCTCTTGAACTACACTCTCAGCTTTGTGCAAATCCATTTGTGTCTCTGCCAGAAAATTTGGTATCTTTTAATGTGTTTTACAAGTCACACTTGCCAGTTCAGAGCAAAGTCCTCTGCAGGAGAGTTTGCTATATTCTAGGACCATGGGCCAAATTGAGCCTGCCACCTGTTTTTGTAAAGTTTTATTGGAACACAGACACATTTGTTTTTTCTTGCACTCTATGGTTGCGTTTGCACTAAAACCACAGAGCTGAGTAGTTGCAAAAAACTTTATGGCCCCCTGACTGCCTGAAGTATTTAATACTGGGTTCATAGCTTTTTACTCACCTCTGCTTTACTGGGAATCCAAGTTTGCTGGGTGATACCAGCTTAGATATAAAACCCTTAAAGTCCATACAGCTGTTAATAACAACAAAAAAAAGCCTTCTAAAAAGACTGATATCTTTCCTCTTTATCTAAAGAGCTACAACAAGAAGTACAAGGAACGTTTATGTGATTTCAATCTATGGGTTCCCACTTGAAATGTCAACAACCTTCTAGAACAGAAAGGCAGATCAGACTCAACGACAAATAGCAGAAAGGTAACAATAGCAACTGTACAATCACGCCAGCATTCAGTAACCACTTCTGATCAAAACCATTATCTCCAAAGAGACTAATTCTATCCTGGGTCTCTTTTCTTCTTACAACAGAGATTCAGCAGTACACCATCACCCTGATGGAAAACTTCAACGGAGTCAGATATGCCCAAACCAGCACCATTAACAAACTAGGTACCTCTATTTCACAAGTGAAATAGTCCCTTCCATACAATCTATAAAATTTTACATCCTTTTTTCCTAGTTTACCAAGAACAATGGATCCACTTAATCTGTTTCAATTTCAGAGATGTTCAACTTGATGAGGGCACACAAGAATTTATATTAAAAAAGAGTATTCGAAGGAAAGATGCCAAAAGTAGAAACCAAGCAACTTTGGATAAGTATTATATCCACTGAGATTTCATAACCTCCTAAGGATCCATCTATGAGAAGAGGTTGGATTTTCAGTAGTTTGTCAGTTCAGCAAACACTAAATGCTTTCCGTGATGAAACAGATGCTGGTGTGAGGTTGTCCCACGTATCACATATCCCAGCACAAAGCTCAGGGCCCACTGGGCCCCTGGACTTTTCTCTCCAAATAGAAGTAAACAGAATTTTGAATTCCACAAGACAAGCACAGGCTGGGCTAGTTAGCTTGATCTTTGGCGCCACCTCCAGGTCAAACTGCATTTCGTTTTACTACAGTAGGAACTCATTGAGAAATCCAAGGTGCATTTATAATTAAGTTACTGAATGGGGTGGGGGCTGGGGATGGAGAACCTCCTACCATAACTGTCTGTGGAGGACTGCAAAATTGAGTATTCCTTACATCATACTACCACGAGTCTGCCTTTTTTATTGTAAGACAACAGGTAAAAGAAACCACACAAACATAAGGCAAACACTTAGAACGATCACCCAGGTTATGAAATAGAAGTTTTCCAGCAACCCCAGACCCTTCATGTACACCTTCCTCACCTTAACCCTTCCCACTATAGAGATTAGTTTTAGTTTTCTATATCGTCTAACTAGTGTAATAATTCCATCAGAGATGGATCAGTTTTAAAATTGGAATTCATTACGTAGAAGCTATCCCCATGGGATAGAGCAGGGATCGGTGGACCCCTCCTTTGAATGACCAAGTCGACTTGCTCAGATAATCCTTGGAGGGAAGGGACAAATGCGAGAAGTGTCTCCACAGCACTGTTTTGCTTTCATCACTGTCGCCCCAGCCATCGCCTCTGGAGGCCTGTGAAGTTGGAGCGGCCAGCCCCGCAAGGGGTGCCCAAAACCTGTCTCACTGGCTTCACACCTTTGGAGGGCTGGGCAACAGCACCGCTCAGAAGTTCCGACACCTGACGACCCCCTTCGGCTGAGCTAGAGGTCTTGGCTGGGCTCTAGGGGAGCCTCCAACTGCCCCACGGAGACCAGGGTGCTGAGCTGCCCCGACGCAGCGCTTTCCGGTGGGAAGGTGACCAAGTCTGAGTTCTTGTTCTCGCTCTGGTCACTGTGCTGCTTCTTGTGGCATCTCAGAGAGTCATCCCTGACGAAGGAGGCGCCGCAGGTCTCACAGCGGAAGGCCCTCTGCGTCACGATCTTGGCCACATGTTGAGAGCTGCTCTCTCTGAGCCCTTCCTTGCCCAGAGGGGCCCAGTTCTCCGTCTTGGCCTCGTCCCTGTGCACCTTGTCGATGTGCTTGGCCAGGCTGCTGGGCCGCTTCGTGTCGAAGCTGCAGAAGTCACACTTGAAGGGACGGTCCTTACAGTGGACTCTGCTGTGCACCCGCAGGGCGGCCGCGCTGGAGCAGGAGTAGCTACACTCTGGGCACTTCTCCGGGTGGTCGGCCTGGTGCAGCCGGCTGTGCTCCAGGAGGTCAGCCCGGTCCCGGCCCTGGAAGGCACAGTGCAGACACTTGAAGGTGTGCTTGATGCGGATGTGCGATTTGAGATTCGCCTTCATGGTGCAGCGGACGTCGCAGAACTCGCATTTGAAAGGCTTCTCCCCCGAGTGCACGATCATGTGCCTTTTCAAGTCCGAGCTGATTTTGAACTTGGCGCTACAGAGCCAGCACTGGAAGGGGGTATCCCCTAGCAATGGAAGGTGTGTTTCCATTAGAATAGGCAGGCAAAACAGACCCTCCCACCCCAACCTGCCTCAGCACACTTGGCCGCAGTGAGATCGTTGTTTTGTAAACTCTACCCACAACCTCGTAAGGACAACACTTGTTGTGCATATTAACGCAAACTTCACTACAATCCTATGAGTGGGTACTGTTACTCCCACTTTACAGATGGGGCAACTGAGGCTCAGAGAGGTCAAGTTACTTGACTTAGGTCAAACAGCAGGGATTTGGAACCCAGGCACTATGGCACTCAAGTTCATACTCTTGATGACCCCTTCAGTTTCAAATCTAAACTCCCATTTAACTTGACATCCCAGAATTGAATGTGCAAGAAGACGTGAGATTTAAATTACAAACAACTGCTTCAAATCAAGCTAAGACCTGTGAAGATGCTTACTATAGTGTTTAATCTATATGACATCAGTTATTGAGCTTGTATTTCAAGTGAAAGCTTCTTACTTTTATAAGTACAGGCTGAATTTTATTTATAATATTAATGCATAATTATGGCAGCAGGGGACAAATAATAAAGAGCCATGGTCTCTTCTCTAATTTAGAGTCCCATTCCCTGGAGACATTGCTAAGGGTTTCTAGTTGTTTTGAAGGTTGTCGCTTTAAACATCAGTTGAATATACACAAAGATAAGCATCTTATCCTACACACCCATCCTTTCCCTAACCTCTCCCTGCATTCTGGTGGTTGTGACTTTTACACTTTTTTTTGTTTTTGAGACAGTCTTGCTCTGTTGCCCAGGCTGGAGTGCAGAGGTGTGATCTTGGCTCACTGCAAGCTCCACCTCCCGGGTTCACGTCATTCTCCTGCCTCAGCCTCCAGAGTAGCTGGGACTACAAGCGCCTGCCACCACACCCGGATAATTTTTTGTACTTTTTTAGTAGAGGCGGGGTTTCACCATGTTAGCCAGGATGGTCTCGATCTGCTGACCTCGTGATCTGCCTGCCTTGGCCTCCCAAAGCGCCAGGATTACAGGCGCCTGCCAGCACACCCAGCTAATTTTTTTGTATTTTTAGTAGAGACGGGATTTCACCATGTTAGCCAGGATGGTCTCGATCTCCTGAACTCGTGATCTGCCCACCTCAGCCTCCCAAAGTGCTGGGATTACAGGCGTGAGCCATTGCGCCCGGCCGACTTTTGCGCTTTTAAGCTGAGTAGTAGCCTCACATCTTAGTCCGTCAGCTTGAGATTTTTTGAGGATTCACTCCTCTTCTCCACACTTAACTCCTCACTTGTTAGAAGCAGCTTTCTTTTCACCTTTAAGTAAAAAAAATTTCCATTCTGTCTGGTGAATTCTCATACTTTAATCATTTTCAGATTTCAAGTTCAGAAGCCAATTATAAATAATTTAAATGGTGACTAGGAATGTGTTATTCATCGGAGCCAAACACTGCACCAGGATTACAATCACTTCCTTCTAAGTCTGCTGTCACACTCGGGCCAGTGGATGGGGTAACCCATCAATATAATTTTGTTTGCTTTTCTTACATGCTGCTCATCTGGGGGCACATTTTAGCTTGCTTCTTGATTAGATTGTATTTCTTGAAAAAAGGCATCTCAATTTCAGAAGTCATCCACTCTCATAATTTTGTAACTTTCAAAGGAATTTTTTAAATGGATTTTTAAAACTTCTGATTTAGTTTCTCTTGACCTTCTATACAAGTATCAGCCTGATATTTCTCTTTGCTGCAATCCCAGTTAGCCATATTCAGGTATTCACATATCAAATATCTCATGCCAGATGTTTTCTCCCTTCCTTTGCTAGAGTTTATCTTCTAGTAACTCCCACTAGCATGGTGGCTGGGAGTAAAGTCTCGAGTCCTTGCACATCATTCTATTTTGCTCTCATACTTGAGGTAGTTTGGCTGGGTATAGAATTCTAAGTTCAAAATCATTTCCCAACTCTTGAGGGAGGGCACTGTTCCCATTGTCTCCTAGAAGCCAATACTACCCCAGACATATTTCTAGATATAGATGTCCCCTGTCCACTCCCTTCCATCCTGATTGGAATCTTGTGAGCACTTTTACTCTCCTGGCCCCTTAGAATTACGGACTTTATTTCTCATTTGATTTTCTATTTTCACTCTATTTTCTTCTCACTTCCATTTTCTTTTCTTCCTAGACCTGGTCAGAAACCAGACTTCAGGACTGACTCTTATTCTCAGTTCACTCACTCAATTTTCCCCCCTAATCTCTGAGAAATTAATTGTATAGCTAGCAATCCTAGTTTTATTTCATACCTCTTTGTTCTCATTATCTCTTCATAGGTCTCTATTTGGATGCAACATTTCTGCCAGTGGGTAGACACCAATTAGAATGTGAAAATTACCCAAGTACTCTTACTTCCAGGATTAGTTATTGACTTGGCTCATTTTATTCCGTTCATTTCCTATAAATGACTCATGATCCTTGGTTGACTATATTTGGGAAAGTAGACTGGCTTAATGATTAGACATGGATGCCAGAGGTTTCACCTGCTACTGGGTTAGTTGGGCAGTTTTGCCAGGCCTTGGCTAGTCTCCCAAGCTTTGTGGCCCTGGCTGTCTACATGCTTGTTCCAAGCTCAGAGCCCTCAGGGCACTTGGATATTGGCTGGAACATTGGCTCCCAACTGTATGGTTGCCTCCCATTTGTCTGCTGGGACACAGCTTTCTATACTCAATTTTAAACATCACTATGTTCCTGTCTGCTCATCATTTTCCAGGAATTCACTGAACATTTTCAACTTATGAGCATCCTTATGAATATCCCAAACCCCATTTTTCCATGCCACATTGAGTTGGTCCTATCACTTCAGTAGGCTCCCATAAAGAAAGGAAGGAAGTTCCTAAGGTTAAAAGTTTATGATTTTTAATTATACTTAATGGATCTTGCTACATTCCCAATTAAGCCATGCAATCAGTGTGTACATTTACTGAAACATCTAGTTTATAGGTCTAACTGGAGATACATCTTTACCTTCTTGGCAGTTATAGTGGGTATCCACCCCAGCTGGATTCCATGTAGTCAAGATATAAAACCCAGCTGTCAGTCATATTTTACCAAAAGCTGTTGTTCCGGCAACAGAAAAATGACAAACCTCACAATTATCATAGAAGTTCCAAATTCTTGTACTTCTACCACACCAAGTCATTTAAGTTGCTTGTGTTAAGTAAATGAAGGTTAAGAAATTAGAGAAAAAGTAAGCGACTGAGGTTTCCTGGTCAGGGACTCACCCGTGTGGGATCGCAGGTGGACGGTGAGCTGGCTGGAGTTGCGGCTGGCATAGGGGCAGAGCTGGCATTTGTATGGCCGCTCGTCAGAGTGGATCCGCAGGTGCTTCTTGAGGCTACTGCTGTCCACGGCAGCATAGTCACACAGGTGACACTTGTGTGGCTTCACACTGGTGTGGCACCGCATGTGCATGGTCAGGTTGTCCTTCCGGCTGAAGCACTTGTCACAAAACTCACACTTGTGTGGTTTGTCTCCTTAAAACACATAAGGAGTCAAAGTTAAGGGTTTTTTGGTCAAGATGGCTACAGATATTTGACCAAGATGGTAGCCTGGGCATATGGGTGTGCTGCCTCCTCCTGTCCAAATACCGAGAGAGGAAGATACTGAAGTCTACATCAGCATATTGGGAAACAAGAACGTGTATCATTCATTGATAGCTCAGAAATCCTAAGGGACAGATGACATAAAAAATCAGATTGATGGAGGAAATTATAGGCCAAACCCTACTTGGGAAAAATGGCAGTTGTTATAGAAGTACTCAGAATAAGAAGTGGCAGCTGTAGGGATCTTGGACAGCTTCATGAACCACATGGAGAAGGATCAGATGGACCCCTTCCTCTCACTTCTTCCAAACAGCAAGCAGCACGCCATCTCTGCCCCCAGGCTGTTGGTCAAAGGACGCTGAGGTCAGAAAAAGAATCCAAGGGCTTGGTAGTTAGAGATGCCAGGGATAGCAGAAGATCACATACCCAGAACATTTCCATCCAGCCATGTTTCATCACTACCCCCAAGCCCAACCATTCCAGGCTGATATCTAAATAAAAGTTAGTTTACCCAATAAACAAATGCTTGGGGAAAGCCAGAACCAGAAAGACACGCCCAAGTCAAGAACTTAGTTACTAAAGCAAACGGAAGAAATGAAATTAGCGAAATGAAAACTATGGCCATCAAAACAAAAGTTCTAATAAGTTGACTAGCAAAAAGAGTGTTGAACGACAGCTATTGGTGGATGTATGTCATCATACATTTGTCCACACCCACAAATGTACAACACCAAGAGTGAAACTTGGCCAGGTGCGGTGGCTCACACCTGTAATTCCAGTGCTTTGGGGGGCTGAGGTGGGTGGATCGCTTGAGCCCAGGAGTTCGAGACCAGCCTGGGCAACATGGCAAAACCCTGTCTCTATACAAAATATACAATATTAGCTGGGTGTGGTGGTGCATGCCTGTAGTTCCAGTTACTTGGAAGGCAGAGGCTGGACGATCACTTGAGCCCAGGAGGTTGAGGTTGTGAGCCGAGATCATGCCACTGCACTCCAGCCTGGGTAACAGAGCAAGACGCTGTCTCAAAAAAAAAAAAAAAAAAAAAAAAGTGGACCCTACTATAAACTATGGTCTTTGGTTGAGAATGTTGTGTCAGTGCAGGTTCATCTATCGTAAAGATGCATGACTCAAATGTAATGTTAGTAATGGGGAAGGCTGTGCATATGGAGAAGCAGGGGGCATACGGGAAATATCTGTACCTTCTGGTCTTTAGGTTCACTTTTGCTGTGAACCTAAAACCGCTCTTATAAAATAACAGAACAGAAACAAAAAACTACCTATTAAGAAAAATCTTAGAAATGGAAGATACAGTTAAAGAATCTCCCAAAAGGACAAGAGGAAAAAGATGCCAAAAGCTAAGACATGGAAATTCGTTCTAGATGGTCCAGGACAGAACAGAGAAGAATTATTTCCCAACACTAAAGACAGCCATGTATCTTATTTAGAAGCAGGGTGGTCCAATTTCAGAACCTTAAGAATAGTGAGATCTGGAAGCTTCCAGAAAGAAAACCACCAGCAAAATGCTCATATCAGCATAAAGCTCCTCAGAACAGTGGATGCCGGCAAGATAGGAACAGGATCTTCAACTTTCTATAGAAACTGTTTTAATAGAGTCTTATACTTGAATTAGCATTCAGTGAGAGGAGAAGATAGTTGATATATGACTTGGTATCACACTTAAAACAGTGTACACCGGAATAAAAAATAAGGGTAATGGTGAAGGTAAGATGGGAACATGAGAAAATAGTACAATGGAAAAAGTATAGCTTTCAGACAAGAGAAAAACAACTATCAAAAGACTTGGTTGGGGCGACTGGGCATGGTGGCTCATGTCTGTAATCCTAGCACTTTGGGAAGTCGAGGTGGGGGGATCACCTGAGGTCAGGAGTTCGAGACCAGTCTGGCCAACATGGTGAAACCTTGTCTACTGAAAATACAAAAATTAGCTGGGCATGGTGGTGTGCACCTGTAATCCCAGCTACTTGGGAGGCTGAGGCAGGAAAATGGCTTGAACCCAGGAGGAGGAGGTTGCAGTGAGCCGAGATCACGCCACTGCACTCCAGGCTGGGTGACAGAGGGAGACTCCATCTCAAAAAAAAAAAAAAAAAAAAAAAAAAGACTTGGTTGGGCACAATGGCTCACATCTGTAATCCCAACACTTGAGTCCAGAAGTTCTAGACCAGCCTGGGCAACATAGTAAGACCCTGTCTCTACCAAAAAAAAAAAAAAAAGGATTAGCTAGGTGTGGTGGTATACCCTTGTAGTCCCAGCTACTTGGGAGGCTCAGGTGGGAGGATCACTTGAGCCCAGGAGGTGAGCTCTGATCATACCACTGCACTCTAGCCTAGGTGGCAGAACAAGAACTTGTCTCAATGAAACAAAAAAACCAAACAACGTAAAATAAAAGCCACATCAAATATCAGATAACTAGATGTCAAACTAAATATTATAAACAAAAACGTATTACATTTCCCTCTTAAAGATCTAAATTATAGGTCAGGTGTTGTGGCTTACACCAGTAATCCCAGCACATTGGGAGGCCGAGGCAGGAGGATTGCTTGAGGCCAGAAGGTTGAGACCAGCCTGGGCAACATAGGGAGAGCTCATCTCTAATAAAAGTTTAAAAATATATTTAAGTTAAATTACGAAAAAAAGCCACTAAATGCTCTGAAGATACGTAAATCAAAGTGATAGGAACAGAATAAGAAAATCTAGAAAAATGCTTTAAAAAAGTAGGAATATCAATTTTAGCATCAGGCAAAATAGAAATCATGGTGAAATTCATTAAAAACTTCGTATGGATGAGAGAGTTCAGTATGTAGATATAAGTCAAACTTTCATGAGTATAACATGGCTTCACAAATGGTTTTTCAAAAATGTCAACTTGGAAATTTTAGAATGTCTTTTAGGACCGTTTTTGTCAAAATTAGATTACAAACTCTAGAAACAGATAAGAGTTTCCTATTTCAAAACCTATAGCTGTGGCTGGGCTCGGTGGCTCACGCCTGTAATCCTAGCACTTTGGGAAGCTGAGGCGGGCAGATCACCTGAGCTTGGGAGTTCGAGACCAGCCTGGCCAACAAGGAGAAACCCCATCTCTACTAAAAATACAAAAAAAATTAGCTGGACGTGGTGGCAACATGCCTGTAATCCCAGCTACTTGGGAGGCTGAGGCAGGAGAATCGCTTGAACCCAGGAGGTGGAGGTTGCGGTGAGCCGAGATCGTGCCATTGTACTCCAGCCTGGGCAACAAGAGCGAAACTCTGTCTCAAAACAAAACAAAACACAAAACAAACAAAAAAAGCCTATAGGCCGGGCGCGGTGGCTCAAGCCTGTAATCCCAGCACTGTGGGAGGCCGAGACGGGTAGATCACGAGGCCAGGAGATCGAGACCATCCTGCCCAACACGGTGAAACCCCATTTCTACTAAAAAATACAAAAAACTAGCCGGGTGAGGTGGCAGGTGCCTGTAGTCCCAGCTACTTGGGAGGCTAAGGCAGGAGAATGGCATAAACCCAGGAGGTGGAGGTTGCAGTGAGCTGAGATCACCCCACTGCACTCCAGCCTGGGAGACAGAGCGAGACTCCGTCTCAAAAGAAAAAAGGAAAAAAAAAAAAAGCCTATAGCCTATAATGGCTTCAAAGAAGTTTGTAGACTTAAGTTCATTTTTAACAAAATGATGAAATCAAGTGCACAGTATGTACTTCAAGAACCCAAAAGACAGAATTGAGGCTACATACAGCACTTGATCAATAAAGGTAAAAATGGTGCTTACGAAGGAAGGCTTAGCTCAAAAAGAGGATACCAACAGTCCAGGGTCTTAATCTCAACAGTACTGGCAATTCTTTGATGTTTGGTACTTTCCTCTGCGTTGTAACATGTTTAGCGGCATCCCTGGCCTCCACCCACCAGATGCCAGTAGAACCCTTCCTTCCCCAGTTGTGACAACCAAAGATGTCTCCAGACATTGTTCCCTTGGGGGGCGAAATTGTACCCATTTGAAAACCATTCCAATGGACTTTGGAAAAGCAGAAGGGGACTACGGATACACAAAGTCAATTGTGACTATTAAGCAGAACTTTACCCCAATAAATTTAGAAGACTCAATAAGATGGGTGATGGTCCAGGAAGATGTAAAATTACAAAGCCTGGATTCAAAGATCGAAAACAAGGCCGGGCACGGTAGCTCACACCTGTAATCCCAGCACTTTGGGAGGCCAAGCGGGTAGATCACGAGGTCAGGAGTTCGAGACCAGCCTGACCAAGATGGTGAAACCCCGTCTCTACTAAAAATACAAAAATTAGCCGGGTGTGGTGGTACGTGCCTGTAATCCCAGCTACTCAGGAGGCTGAAGCAGGAGAATCGCTTGCACCTGAGAGACGGAGGTTGCAGTGAGTGAGATCGCACCACTGCACTCCAGCCTGGGCGACAGAGCAAGACTCTGTCCCCCGTCCCCAAAAGAAAAAGATCAAAAACAGGCTGGGTGTGGTGGCTCACGCCTGTAATCCCAACACTTCGGGAGGCTGAGGCAGCCGGATCGGCCTTGACTTGAGGTCAGGAGTTCAAGACCTGCCTGGCCAACATGGTGAAACAGCGTCTCCACTGTAAAAATACAAAAATTAGCCAGGCATGGTGGTGCATGGCTGTAATCCCAGCTACGCAGGAGGCTGAGGCACAAGAATCACTTGAACCTGGGAGACAGAGGTTGCAGTGAGCCAAGATTGCACCACTGTACTCCAGCCTCGGTAAGAGGAAGACTGTCTCTCAAAAACAAAACAAAACAACCCGAAATGAAACAGATTGGTGACAATGAAGAATTATGTTAAAGATCTACTCTCTAAGGTGAATTGTTTATTGTTTGCAAGTATGTGCTGTAACTTCTGTGGAGAATTATGCTTCGCTGTCCCAGCAGCCTCTGGTTTGGGCATGACATACTCTGGCTAATGAAATATGACAGAAAGTGACAAGAATTGTTGTCAAGGGCCACTGTGTGGTTCCTCACACTTGTTTCTCTTGCCCAAGATACCCTGCAGTGTTCCAAATCAGGAGATTTAACAAATTTTTTTTACAGACGGAGTCTCACTCTGTCTCCCAGGCTGGAGTGCAGTGGCACAATCTTGGTACACTGCAACCTGCGCCTCCCAGGTTCAAGCGATTCTCCTGCCTCAGCCTCCCAAGTAGCTGGGATTACAGGCGGCCGCCACCACACCTGGCTAATATTTGTATTTTTAGTAGAGATGGGTTTCACCATGTTGGCCAGACTGGTCTTTAACTCCTGACCTCAGATGATCCACCTGCCTCGGCCTCCCAAAGTGCTGGGATTACAGGCGTGAGCCACTGTGCTCGGCCATCGGGAGATTTTTATCTGGGGTCTGCATGTAAATTTCACGGTCTAAGATCTTATATGGGAAATGATTACATTTTTATCTTCCCTACCTCTAGCTACAGTTTAGCATTGCCTCCAATTATCGATGTAGGCAATGAACTACACTAACAACAGTGCTGGAAACGCTCGTCAATGGACCTGAAATGTGGTTGTACCACATTACACTCGCTGTAGTTCTCCAAGTTATCACTTATGCTCACTTCTGCACTTAGGGTAATTAACTTGCTAGCCACTAGGCTCCTGACATTAAATGCAGGTCTCTGGGACTACTGTGCATATTAACCGCCTGGGCTTGGGAGCGTCTCATTAAAATGCAGATTCTGATTCAGGAGGTCTGCTGTGCAGCCTGGGTTCCTGCATTTTGATCTACCAAGCTCCCGGCTGATGTGGACATTTCTGGTCTTTGTACCAGTTTGGGTAGCAAAGGTTTAAAGTATGAAAATTGCACATTTAACATTGATTATATAATACTATGGTTTTTAAAAATGTGATATATCTTATTAAAGACATCTTTTTGAGAAGAGTCCATCCAAATTGCCAGCAGTGCACAGCAGAACAAAGGTCAAGAATGCCTTCATCTGGCTGTTCCGGACAGAGGCAGATCTACCAACTGGGTCCTGGAGAGAAGACCACAAGGAATGCAGCTGGGGTGACTGTGGGGGACAGCGGCATATACGGAGCAGTCTTCAGTTGTCACTGAGGTTGACATTGCTATCTCAGCCTAATCTATACCTCCTCCTATGCTCCTAAGGATTGGAGCAGAGAGGGGATTGTGTACACGTTCTACCAAACTTTCAAGGAAAGGCGTTTCTATAGTCAACTGTTTCAGAGCATAGAGAAAGATTTTGCTTCAGCTCACTTTATAACAGCTATCTGATACCAATGCCAAATGAAGAAATACAAAGTGGAATAAAACTACAAACATAAATCAATCTTCTTTACAAAGCTAAATAAATGCCACAGGAGCTAGCGAGACAGGGCTTGGGGGATGGGTGGCTCACGTCTGTAATCCCAGCACTTTGGAAGGCTGAGGCAGGAGGATCACTTGAGGCCAGGAGTTTGAGACCAGCCTTGACAACACAGACCTCATCACTATAAAATAAAATAAAATTAGCTGGGTGTAATGGGGCATGCCTGCAGCCCAGCTACTCGAGAAGCAGAGACATGAGGATCACCTGAACCTGATCGCACTACTGTGTTCCAGCCTGGGCGACAGAGCAAGACCCTGTCTCAAATAAATAAATAAATAAATAAATAATAAAAAGGAAAATGCAATACATTTGAAATGCAACGACTATTCCCAATTACACACACACCTCAGAAAACCAACCTCAGAAAGCTAGGAATAAACTTGAATGCCATAAGTGATCTCAACCAAAATCCCAGGGCTTCTAACCCTACAACGATGGCGACATCAAAGCATGCCCACGATGAGGAAATAAGACAGATGGTTTGCGTTGACTGCTACTCTTCAATCTGAACTGAAGCACCAAAGCCAAGGCACACAAGGCCAAGTACAAAGTCGTAAACAGAAAACTTACTTGCATATGTTAATTGACTTAGGCAATCCAAAAGAACCACATGTTAGAATCGCTGCCTCCCACTTATAGCTGGGTCAGAGACACCCTGATCTTTCCCCTCTTCCCTTGGTAACAGAACCTTCTTTGCAGCTGGGCACACGACCACACAGGAGAAACTTCCTTTTCCCAGCCGTCATTTCCACAGCTGGGGGTGGCCATGTGATTAAGTTCTGGCCAAACAGGCGAGCCCAAGCAATGTGCCTTTAAGGTGGCAGGAGGCCATTGTGGAGCAGGCTAATGAGAGTTGCACCCTTGGGATGACAAAGCAACGCAAGAGCCTGGGTCCCTGAAACCACCAGGCTGGTCCCACACCAGCCTGATCACTTACACCTGGAACATCACGGGGCAGAAATACTTTGGTTTTAAACCACCATTACGTGAGTCCCAGTAGTCACAAAGGATGCGACTTCTGGGTCATGCCCCAAGGGAGGAATACTGTGAGGCCCCCATGCCTCTTCTCCTACTTTCCATTAGTTAAATTCAGAGAACTAAAGCAGTCACCTTGGGCCCGGAGAAGTGGCCTAAGTTTGCTTACACTAGGGAGGCGCGTCTGCTTCCCTGACTCAAGAACAAGGCCTTACCTTATATGTCCTGGGTCCCCAGCATGCTCTACAGTACCTCAAGAAAACATTAATCCAGCCCCTGTACATCTCTTGGAGTCGACCCCAGCACAGTGAACATTCCAGGCCTTTAATTCTTGTGAAGGTTATCTTGTGAATTTTAAGATTTTTGGCCTCCACCCATTGAATGGCAGTAGCCTAGCCCCAGTTGAGAACAAGCGCTCAAGTTATTTTCAGGATAGAGTCACCCACTCTGAAATTCTTAAACTGAGCTGCCTCATCTTTCCTCAAAGGGTTCCGGAACCTGCATGCTTTCACTGACATCGTCATCCTGGTAGTCTGTCTTTCAAGGGGAAGATCAAACATTTCCTTGCTAACACGCTTGTCATGATGCACCGTCCCCAGGCAAAAGTGGCCCTCTATTATAATGCCCTCTATTAAATATTACATAGGGCCTCTATTAAAAGTGACCCTCTATTATAACATTACAAATGCCTATCTTTCTGGACAGAGACCACCATCTTTGTCCAAAAATCTCTGTCCTCTCAGTGAAGGGGCTCCAGAGGCTCATCTGGGCATGTGCTGCCCCTCCTAAAACCATCCCTCATGTCCCCTTGACGCTCAGTGTGGCCATGACTAAGTCCCGCTCTTGTTCCCCTAGGTCACAAGGGCCACTGCTTCTGAGTCACAGCCCGAGGGAGGCATGCCGTGGGCCCCCTGGCCTGCTTCCATTGCCCGCTGGCTAAGAGATGCAGAGAACTACACCACCTGCCTCAGACCCAGAGGCTAAGCCACATGTCCAGGACGGCAGAGCCATTGGACCAGCTGTGGACTATGTGCCTCTGAAGCTGTATTCGAGAAATAAACCAGATGACGTTTAAGCCACTGAGAGTGGTTTCTGAAAGAACAAACCAATATCCTCCCTCAAACACACAAGTATAGGATTTGTACTATAGACTAAGGGTTGGCAAAGTGTTTTGTAAAGGACTAGATAATATTTTAGGGAGGACGGTCCTGGTGGCTCATGCCTGTAATCCCAGCACTTTAAGAGGCCGAGGCAAGTGGATCACCTGAGGTCAGGAGTTTGAGAACAGTCTGGCCAACATTGCGAAACTCCGTCTCTACTAAAAATAGAAAAATTAGCCGGGCGTGGTGGCAGGCACCTATAATCCTAGCTATTTCAAAAGGCTGAGGCAGGAGAATCACTTGAACCTGGGAGGCGGGGGTTGCAGTGAGCTGAGATGGTGCCACTGCACTCCAGCCTGGGTGACAGAGGGGGACTCTGTCTCAAAAAAAAAAAAAAAAAAAAATAGTATTTAAGGCTTTGTGTACCCTACAGTCCCCGCAGCAACTACCCCCTTGTAAAGCCAGAAAGCTGCAAACAATAGGTAAACAAAGGAGCATGCCAACAGGCTGGAGTTGCCCATGGGCTGCAATTTGTAGACCCCTGGTATAGATCATGGCACTCCTTTGCTTCAGCACATCTTATTTCTCTTCTCAGCAGCTCACTGCCCTAAAAGAAAGCACCTTTAAGAAGCTACCTTATTGCTCTTCTAAGATTACTATAGCCACAGGCCTCTGTGTAGCTCATCCTGGCAACCTCTTCATCTTCATCTCATACCCCTTTGTTCCTTCTCCCAAGCCCACCCTACTAGACTGAGTTTCATGAGGCAGATGAGGCAGAGATCGTCCTGTTCATTACTGTGTCCCTAGTGCTCAATTCACATTCACTTCCTATGTTCTTACTGAGCTGCTGAACAGAGTGGATACCTACCCGTATGGATTCTGAGATGGCGGTCCAAGTCTTTCATGCCATGCACAGTTTTGAAGTGGCAACCTACAAAAGAAAAATACAATTTTTTTTTTTTTTCTGAGATGGAGTCTTGCTCTGTTGCCTAGGCCGGAGTGCAGTGGCACGATCTCGGCTTAATGCAACCTCCGCCTCCTGGGTTCAAGCAATTCTCCTGCTTCGGCCTCCCGAGTGGCTGGGATTATAGGCACCTGCCTCCATGCCCAGCTAATTTTAGAATTTTTGGTAGAGATGGGGTTTCACCATGTTGGCCAGGCTGGTCTCGAACTCCTGACCTCAGGTGATCTGCCTGCCCCAGCCTTCCAAAGTGCTGGAATTATAGGTGTGAGTCACCATGCCTGGCCTGAAAAATATAATTCTTAAAAGAGAACCTCAGTTGAGTGTGGTGGCTCATGCCTGTCATCCCCAAGCTTGGGAGACCAAGGTGGGAGGATCACTGGAGGCCAGAAGTTTGAGACCAGCCTGGGTAACATAGAGACACCCCCATCCCCTCCTAAGATGCTGGGACTACAGGCATGAGCCACCAGGCCCGTCCTCCCTAAAATATTATCTAGTTCTTTAACAAAACACTTTGCCAACCCTTAGTCTATAGTACAAATCCTATACTTGTGTGTTTGAGGGAGGATATTGGTTTGTTCTTTCAGAAACCACTCTCAGTGGCTTAAACGTCATCTGGTTTATTTCTCGACTACAGCTTCAGAGGCACATAACTTTTAAAACAAAAAAGTCAGCCAGACATAGTGGTGCATGCCTGTAGTCCCAACTCCTCAGGGGCCGATGAGGGAAGATCACATGCATCCAGTGAGTTGGAGGCCGCAGTGAGTTATGATCACACCACTGTACTCCAGCCTTAACAGAGCAAGAACTTGTCTTGGGAGTCTGAGGCAGGAGAATTGCCAGAACCTGAGAGGCGGAGGTTGCGGTGAGCTGAGATCGTGCCATTGCACTGCAGGCTGGGCAACGAGAGTGAAACTGTCTCCAAAAAAAAAAAAAGTCTCTGTATATGTATAACCTCAGGATGGAAGCTACTACGAATCCAATGTTCTGGCGAGTCCCACGCTGAGCTCTGGATGCTACAGGACTCTCAGGCCCCCTAGGGAAGGCTGTGTGTGCTGATGTAGATGCTTGCGTGTTATCAGCATGCAAGAGTAACACGAGCAGGCCGCTCGGGGATTCACGCAGGGCTTGCATATCAGCACTTGGCTCAGAACGCCGGGTTTTATTCTTACCTGGGTAGCAACAGTTGAATGTCCTCTCTCCAAGGGTGGCCATTTGCTCCCTTGCCTCTGAGGGAAGAGTGATGACAGGGGTCTTCTGAGTGTCACCGCTTTCAGTGGAGAGGCAGGCTGCTTTTGGAACATCGTTATCAAGCTCTGAAGCTGAAATTGAGGCATAAGGTTTTGCTTACTTTTTCAATTATAACTACCATGCTAAGTCTTAGAATACAGTAGGTTTAAGTTTATTTCACCTTCCTTCACTTTTCCAGAAATAATTAAAAACAAAAATGAAACCCATGTGCCCAGGCGCTCATGCCTGTAATCCCAGCACTTTGGGGGGCCGAGGTGGGTGGATCACGAGCTCAGGAGTTCAAGACCAGCCTAGCCAATATGGTGAAACCCTGTCTCTACTAAAAATACAGAAATTAGCCAGGGGTGGTGGTGTGCACCTGTAGTCCCAGCTACTTGAGAGGCTGAGGCAGGAGAATCACTGGAACCTGGGAGGCAGAGGTTGCAGTGAGTCGAGATCGTGCCACTGCACTCCAGCCTGGGTAACAGAGCAAGACTCTGTCTTAAGAAAAAAAAAAAAAAAGCCACGTATGCTCTGTCTTGCAAAAGTCCTCTTCCCCTTACTACAGTTTTCAAGAAGTACAGGGGATAGGACACTGTCACCTAACAGGGAAACTGGCAAAATCCAAACTAAAAAAACGTAACATATGAGTACTTCTTAAATGGTGTGAAGACTAGTTTTTTCAAACAATTTCCAATCCATCCCAGGCTGATATTTCCGTAAAATATAATAAACACAAATTAGGAGAGAGTGGAATAAGACGAAAACAGCCCAAACATCGTTACATACAGCAAAAAGCTGGATAACATGGCAATATCAAAGTTTTGTTTTTAAGATGCTTACTCTGGATTTCTGATTTGTTTTGCCTCAGTTCAGCAAAAGGTCACAGGCCACACATCACTGATCTCCAGGATAAAACAGTTGTTTCAACAAATAACTCGAAAGAAGATGGAAGAGGAGAAAAACCAAAGACTGAGAGACTTGAGATGGCCGAAAACATTGTGGCTCCTGAGTAGAATACGCTGGAAAAGCTGTTTGAGATAGTAAGACATGTGCTCACTTGCTGGAGTTTTGCTACAAGCGCTTTATACTTTGGTGTGAACATGGAATTAGAGCTTAAAAAGCATTCCCCATAGTCTAAGGATGAATGTTGAAACATTTACAAGTTGTATGACATACGAGTTTTTCTTCAAAAATAATCCAGGGCAGGAGGAGAGCTGGCATAAGGAGAAATGAGATTGGCCACATGTAATTAATGGTTGAAGTGCATCAGTGGGTGAGAATTCACTATATTATTCTATTTTTAGGAAGGTTGAACTATGTGAAATCGCCATTTTTGTTAGCCAAGACGGTCAAATTTCATGTTTCAATCTAATATATAGCTTTTAAAATTCCTATAGCAAAGATTAAGTACTCCTAGAAGATTCTGAAATATCTCAAAATAGACTTAAATCTAAAAGGAAAAAAGGTCCTATCAAGGTCTGAAGTTTTTTTTTTTGAAACGGAGCCTCACTCCGTGACCCAGACTGGAGTGCAGTGTCACGATCTCAGCTCACTGCAAACTCTGCTTCCTGGCTTCAAGCGATTCTCCTGCCTCAGACTCCCAGGTAGCTGGGATTACAGGCGTGCACTAGCACGCCTGCCTAATTTTTGTATTTTTAGTAGAGACAGGGTTTCACCATGTTGGTCAAGTTGGTCTCGAACTCCTGACCTCAAGTGATCCCCCACCTCAGCCTCCCAAAGTACTGGGACTATAGTCATGAGCCACTGTGTGCAGCCATCTAAAGTCTTAAAAGATTGACTAGCTTATGAATTATAGGCCAAGATCTGGGACTTTCTCTGTTCCAAGGTTATTATAAGAGGTGGATTTCACTTTTATTGAGAGCATTTGTGGGGGTAAAGGAATCTTAGCATGAGAAGCTGTACAGCACAGTGGTGAGGGCTTCGGTTTTAGGCAGAGGGTTTGCTCAGCCATGTGCTGTGCTACTGGCTGAGCTACTTAACCTTTCTGAGCTTCAGTGTACTCATTTGCAAAAGGAGACAACATGCATGCCTCAGAGCTGCAGAGTTAAACAAGATGAAAAAATATAAGTTCTCAGTATGGTGCTCAGTCTGAGTAAATGCAATTATGTGGCTTCAGATGTCACAAGTGAGGACTACAGATTTCACATCCTAGTAGTTGTGCTCGAAGCTCCTTAACAAGTGATCTAGTCCAGTGGCTCTCAACTGGGGACCATTCTACCACCAAAGGACACTCAGCAATGCCTGGGAACATTTTCAATTGTCATGTTTCTGTTTGCATGCACGCGTGAGAATGGCATCCAGTGGGTGAAGGCCAGGGATGCTGCTAGATATCCCATAGTGTGCAGGACAGCCCCCACAAGGAAATGATGCAGTCCCAAAGGTCAACAGGGCTGGGGTTGAGAAAGTCTGCATTAGTCCTACTCCCAATGTTTCTTCCAAGTGTAATCCTGATACTGTCACTATCAACTAGATCATGGGTTCAATGTAGTTTCCCAGGCCTTACCCTACAGTCACTGAAAACTTAGGGCAGGCAGAGGGGTGGTAGTGTGGATCAAGTAGGGATTTGTGATTCCAAGGACTTGCGATTTTTTTTGAGACACGGTCTCGCTGTCACCCAGGCTGGAGTACAGTGGCACCAACATGGCTCACTGCAACCTCCACCTTCTAGGCTCAAGCCATCCTCCTACCTCAGCCTCCCGAGTAGCTGGGACCACAGGCATGCACCACCACACCTGGCTTTTTTTTTTTTTGTTTTTTTTTTTTTTTTTTTTTTTGTAGAGACAGGGTTTTGCCACGTTGTCCACGCTAGTCTCAAACAATCTAGAGCTAGATTGCTAGAGCTCAAGCAATCTGCCCACCTTAACCACCGAAAGTGCTGGGATTACAGACATGAGCCACCACACCTGGCCTCAGGGACTTGCATTTTTGAAGCACTTGCCAGAGGATTCTGCTGTATTACTTGTAAGTCCTTGCTACTCAAAGGGCTATTCCTAGAGCACCAGCATCACCTGAGAGCTTGTTAAAAATGCAGAGTCTCAGCCGGGTGCAGTGGCTCACACCTGTAATCCTCTAGCACTTTGGGAGGCCAAGGCGGGCAGATCACGAGGTAAGGAGATCAAAACCATCCTGGCTAACACGGTGAAACCCGTCCTACTTTAAAAAAAAAAAAAATTAGCCAGGTGTGGTGGCGGGTGCCTGTAATCCCAGCTACTCAGGAGACTGAGGTAGAAGAATCGCTTGAAACTGGGAGGCAGAGGTTGCAGTGAGCCCAGATCGTGCCACTGCACTCCAGCCTGATGAGAGACTCCATCTCAAAAAAAAAAAAAAAAAGAAAAAAAAAGGCAGCAGAGTCTCAGGCCTACAGAACCAATCTACACTTTAGCCAGATCCCCAGGTGATTCCTGAGCACAACACATTACGATTTGAGCAGCACAGCCCACAGCCAGTGGTTCTCAGACATGAGCGTGTATCAGAACTGCCTAGAAGGCTGCTTACAACACAGGTGGCATAGGCTCCCCCTCCGGAGTTCCTGATTGAGTAGGTATGGGGTGGAGCCAGTGATTTCTCACAAGTTCCTAATAGATGCCGATGCTGGTCTGGGAACCATACTTTTGAGACTCTTACTCTGTGAGCAAGAAACTGGCTCAGATGCTCAAGGTTGCAGGACTGGAAGTTTTCAGCTCATTGGAACCCACACTTGCCAGATCTGCAACCCATCCTATGGCCCTCAGGGGAAGACACAAAGCCTCATTGCTTAGCAGCTCACATACTAGAAGAGAAAACCATGAAACTTGAGGGTTTTAATTCCACAGAAGTCAAGCAAGACTGGAAACAAATCTAAGTGAGGTACTGTATAACACAGTGGTTTGGGGAACAGACTGGGAAACCAGCTGGTAAGTTTCAAGTTTTACCATTTATCAGCTGTGTCCCCCTGGATAAGATACTCAACTTCCCTGTTCCTCAGTTTCCACATCTGTGAAATGGGTATTATGGCCATCTCATTAGCTTAGATGAAGTTCTTTAGTATATGTAAGAACCTCATGTATTAGTCAATACTGTATAAATGCTATTAGTGTTATTCACTGATATACACATAAGATTCTACCAGATTCTCAGAAGGAGAAAAATGCTTGTTTTCAATGGAAACTAGAAAATAAGAGGTGGGTTAAAGGATGACCCAGATAGAGCCTCTGATGAGGTGGTGTAAGGAGCCTCAGATTTTATTTACATTTAGACATCCAGGAAACCAAGGAAGGGCCAAAGCCCACTCTCCTAGGAAAGGTGCGGCTGGGGGAGACCTCGGCCTCTGGAAGTGGGGGTAGGCCACATTTGACAATTAGAAACCAGGTGAGCACGGCGAGGGTTTTAACCCCTGGGGAAAGGGATGATGTTCCCTCAGTAAGATTCCTCCGGACCCTCCGTCATTTTACTGGTGGTGACAGGAAGTCTACTAGTTACTTTCCATTTTCCTCCAAAAGCTACTTGAGTTGCAAAGACACTTGCAAATTAAGAGTGGCCCAACCTTAGTAAAAAATGTACCCCCTTGCCAGTGTCGCAGACTAAAGATGCTAGGATAAAAAGTCAGTTGGAAGATGGCTTTTTCTCCGAAGTGGTGGCTGGGGTTGAGGCACACTACTGGGCCGGCAGAGTCTGCGTCCTGCTCCGCTCCCACAGAAGGCACCTCAGTACTCCAGGACGCACAACACCCTCCCCATGCCCGAAACACTGGGTGCGGCTCCAGAAGGCGCCTCGCAGCGCCGGCTGCAGGAATCCAAAGTAGCTCAGTGAACAGACTTTCAACCCCAGCCTGGGGTTATTCGCAACTCTCTGCTATAAACACCTCCCACAAAGACTCAGCATCCCCAGTACCTCCCCAGCTTTCCCTAGGCGCCAAGATCAGCAAGAGCCCCGCCCCTCGCCCCAGGGGGGCGGATGCTATAAGTCTCACCTGCCTATCTCCGTCCCAGGCCTTGGGCACAAGGGTGGTTATACTATTCTGGTTATGGTAGCTCCACCCGGACAAACTTTATTTTAACATACAAGCTATTAGTTTAGTGGAGCCTTCATTAAACTACTCCCCTCCACCACCTCCTCGGGAAGGTGTGGTCAAAGCCCACCAGACCGACTGTAGTGGAAGTTGATGCGGAAGTTGGAAAGCCTGCGTCTCTGGACGGGTGAGCCTCCCCGGAGAGGGGACCCGACATCCTCCTTTCTGCGCCAGGAAAGAGCGGGGGAGAAGAGGAAGTCCAGTTACAACTCCTTTCCTCACCCTCTTAAGGGAAAGGTATCGGCTAACCACGGGGGAGCTGGGAGCCGAAGAGAAAGTAGGAACCTGCAATCTCTTAATCTAAGCTCAAAATAAGCAAAAAGGGAAGCGCCTTAGAAATGCAGATTCCCCAGCCCCACCCCCGAGATTCCAATGGAGGTGGGGAACGGGCGGGGGCGAGGGGGTCCCTAATGTGCGGGAGGAATTCGGCGAGCGAGAAAAGGTCCCCTCCCGTAGGCTCTTCTGAAGCGGAGGATCCCGGGACGAGAAATGCTGCCCAGGGGGCTTAGGGTAGCCGAGGATCTCCTGGCTACATCCTGTGTCCACGTGGCAGCCGAGGAGGGGGTGTGGGGGCCGCCTGTTAAGTGAGACAATATCACTGCTCTTTCCCCACCACGGTTCCCACTTCGCTCAGATAAAAATGCAGAGCTCTTACCGGGGCTCATGGCCGCCCCCCACCCGCCACCGCCTGCCCCCATCACCTCTCCGGCCTCCAGTGACCTCTCCGGCTACAGCAGCGCTGACGCCCTGGGCCCTACGCTTGCGTTCCCTCGGCCTGGAATGCTCTTCCCCCGGTACCTGCACGGCTCGCTCCCTCCCATCCTTCTGGTCTTCGCTCGAACGTCCACTCCTTGGTGAGGCCTTCCCTGGACAACGCATTTGAAACGTAACCCCAGGGCAAGAAGCCACCTTCCAGGCGCGCAGCCAAAGCCTAGTGCCAAGGGGGCCGGGGACTCGGGTGCCCGCGCACCCCGAAAACAGCCTCTGAGGGGGTCCTCTGAGCATCCTTCCAGGGTGTTTGGGAGGCAAACTCGTTGACTAGCTCTTGAGAGGAGTGGCTAGAGGAATTCAGGCGGGGAAGGGGACCGGTTGACTCCAGGAGGATGTAATTTACAAAGGCGGGGCTCGGGGACGCCCAGGTCCGAGTCCCTGGACTCTGCGCCGGATGCTTCGCCCGCCCTTTCAGGACCCCTGCCCGGTCCTCGTACCCGCGCGGGTCTGGAGAACCTCTGGGCACCAGCCCCCAGCCCCCGGGCGGGGCTCCAACGGCGCTACTCACCCGGCTCCCCCGCCACCTGGGGGGCCACCTCCGCACATTCCCGGCGCGCAGGGCAAGGCTCCTCGGAGTTGAGGTGCTGGGGCTTGGCCTGCTTGCGCCGCGACATGGCGCGAGGACCGGGCTCCCCGCGCGTCCCTAGGAGTGGCCTACTTCACACAACGAATTCCCGGAGTTCGGAAATTACCCCCCTTCGGCTGGAACGCGCATGTCCCGGCAATTCTGCTCATCAGCCGAGCAGGGCGATTTATCAAGAGTCCTGACGGCTGATTGGCCTGGAGCCAAGACCCCAGGACTCCGGTGAACTTGTGGTCCGCGCCCGGGTAGCCCGCGCCACCTGGGAGCTCGTTAGAAATGCAGACTCTCGGGCTCTACCCCAGACCCACTGAATCAGAATCTGCATTTTAACAAGATCCCCAGGTGATTCGAATGCACATTAAAGTTTGAGAAACCGTGTCTGCATTTTAACGAGATCCCCAGGTGATTCGTTGGCCCATTAAAATTTCAGAAGCGCAGCTCTCCTCCAACTTTAATGTGCGCACGAGTCACTGGGGATCTCGTTAAAATGCAGATTCTGACTCAGTGAGTCTGGGGTGGGGCCTGAGCTCCTGTATTTCTAACGAGCTCCCAGGTGAGGCTGTGGCTGCAGCGCTGCACAGGCTGCGCTTTTAGATTCGGACTTAATTGGTCTGGGCTGGGACCTGGGCATTGGGATATACATTTTTTAAAAGCCGTCTCCCTCCCTCACCACCCCCATCACACACACAGGTTTTTCTGATGTGCATCCAAGCTGAGAAGCACGACCTCCACTCCTGGCTCTCAACCCTGGCTGCATACCCAAATTTAAATTTTAAAAGAGTTGGAGACACTCTGGTGTCTCCCTCCAACTGCAGGGAGAACATGTTCCTGGAGGACGCGGTTAAAAATGCTGATTCCGAAAGTTCTGGATTCAGGTGGCCGAGGCCAGGAATGTGTGTTTTTATACAGCACGCGCCCGCTCCCGCCCCGTGACTCGGGCGCACTGGGTCTTGGACCACACAGGAGGGCTTTTGGGGCCAACTCGACGCTGGCCCCACCCGGCAGGTGACGGAGGCGTGGTCCTCGGGGGGTTGAGCTAATTAGCGTTCGTGCTCAGACTGGCTGGGACCTCGATGAGACCCGAGGGAGACCCCTCCTTGCGCCGCGTAAATGATATCCAACGGGGAGTAAGAAAGCCACCTACGTACCCCGGGTGTTTACTTTCTTCAAATTGGGGAGTTACTTAAGACAGGGTTGTGCCCCAAGCTTGCCCGAACCTGAGAATCACGTGGGGGCCCTTGTTTCAAAAAGACCCAGCCAGGCTCTGCTCCGAGTTTTTGGGGCGGGGCCTGAGAATCGATATTTTTTAACAGCGCAGCGTAGGAGTTTTACCGGGTCCCGGTCCTGGGGGGTTAGCAGCATCTGTAATGAGCCTTCTATGAGATGACCGTTAGCGAACCCCGGGGCAGGGCCTGCGAGAACAGCATTTTTTGCTTAATTGTTTCCATTTCTCAAATGCTGACCTGTTTTCCTCAAACTTCCCTTTGATTTTCAGGTTGTGAATCGACTTAGGGATATTTGTGTAATGCCGGGTGAAATCATGTCAGGTTCCATTTCTGAGACTTAAACTTTTTTAAAAACACAACGCTTCAAGTCTTCTTTGGGATGTATGTGTAGTTACACATATCTGTAAAGACATTTGAAAATATATACACGTGGCTGGGTGTGGTGGTTCATGCCTGTAGTCCCAGCACTTTGGGAGGCCGAGGTGGGCGGATCACATGAGGTCAGGAGTTCTAGACCAGCCTGGTCAACATGATTAAACCTTGTCTCTACTAAAAATACAAAAAATTAGCTGGGCATGGGGGTGGACGCCTGTAATCCCACCTCCTGGGGAAGCTGAAGCAGGAGAATCACTTGAACCCGGAGGTGGAGCCGAGATCGCACCACTGCACTCCAGCCTGGGTGACAGAGTGAGACTCTATCTCAAAAAAAATATCTCTCTCTCTCTATATATATAGATATATAATATAGATATATACACACACATACACACACATGTTTATCATGTCTTCTTTTGAGGAGACTGGATAAGCAGTGGTTGCCTCTGGGGAAGTTGAAGAGGGGTGTGTGGGGGGTATGGGAGACATCTGATACCCCTTATACTGCCTGAGGTGTGTACGTGTGTTTGTATTGCTTTGTTGTTATTTCACCTGAGGTGTACACAATCAATCATTGGTACATGAGGCATTATTACTGCCCTATTGTTAGCCTACACTTGTACACCTGCCTACATTTTTTAGGCTGCTTGTTTGCACCCTGTTTATTACAAGAAGTACCAGGGAACCTGCCCCAAAGTAGGACCTTAACCACAACCTACATCTCTCTTTATATGGCCTCCTGATGTCCCCTCCCCTCCTCTGCCCTACAACTGAATAGCCATCAGCCTGACTCCTACAGATCTCATTCATTTGCTTTTTCTCTTTAGCACGTTTTATTGTACCTACATGTATTCCTTAAAAAAATACAATTTTAATATTTAAAGAATATAAAAGGGTATATAATCTTCCAAGAATAACTTTTTTCACTTAATATTATTTTGCTAAGATCATCCAAATTGCTGTCATTGTTTATTGATTTTGACTGCTCTGCAAATATTCCACTGTGTGAAAATGCCAGTTTCTTCACCTACTCTCCTGTTGATGGGCACATGGGCCTTTGCCAGGTCTTTGCCATTGTGAACAGTGCTGCTTTGATCTTTCTAAAAAGTGTCAGTTTCTCATGAGCGAATATATACCTTGGGGTAGTATAAGAGATAATGCCAAAATGATTGTATTAACTTATACTTCCCCAGCAAGGTATAAGAAATAACATAGGTCAGGCTCAGTGGCTCATGCCTGTAGTTCTAGAACTTTGGAAAGTTGAGGTTGGTGGATCACTTGAGCTCAGGAGCTTGAGACCAGCCTGGGTGACATGGCAAAACTCTGTCTCTATAAAAAATATACAAAAATTAGCTGGGTGGGTGACACACATCTGTGGTGCCAGCTACTCTGGAAACTGAAGCAGGAGGAAGCTGAGCCTTGGAGGCTGAGGCAGTGGGCCATGTTTGTACCACTGCACTCCAGCCTGGGCAACAGAGTAAGAACCTGTCTTGAAAACAAACACAAAATACCCAAAATGTGAAGTCCATTCTTTCTCACACTCAGGATTATAAAATGTCTTGATTTTTGCCAACTATATTGACATAAAATGGGGTCTCAGTATAGTCTTGACTTGCATTTTCCATGTCGGTATACTTACAACCAAAAGCAAACTGAAAATTGTAAATGTGTTCCACAAATATAATGACAACTGATAGTCTTATTTTTGAAAAAAATTGATTTTAGTCTTTTACAAAACATCCAATCAGAGTTCTAGTCCTAAATTAAGGTTTTGTTTTGTTTTGTTTGTTTTGTTTTTTTGAGACGAAGTTTCACTCTTGTTGCCCAGGCTGGAGTGCAATGGCGCGATCTCAGCTCACTGCAACCTCCACTTCCCGGGTTTAAGCAATTCTCCTTGCTTAGCTTCCCAAGAGGCTGGGATTACAGATGTCCACCATGATGCCTGACTAATTTTTTGTATTTTTAGTAGAAATGGGTTTTCACCATGTTGGCCAGGCTGGTCTCAAACTCTTGGCCTCAAGCAATCCGTCCGCTTTGGCCTCCCAAAGTGTTGGGATTACAGGCATGAGCCACTGTGCTGGGCCACCATGTTTGGTTTTGGTTTTAATGGCTTTATTTCAAGGCTCAAAATTAAAAATCTGAAAACAAAATAACCTTACAGGGTCTACAGATACAAATGAAAGCAAAGTATCATTGGCTATGCATAATCAGTCATGATTCTCCTCTTTCAATCCCATTTGCCAATTACACAGGTTGACTATTCTGTTGAAATCCAGCTAGTAAATTTTCATCTTCCCTCACAATCAGGAACTTCTGCAAATTAAAGTGAAGAAGACACATCACAATATTGTACCTGGAACAAATGGATTTCAAACCCAGGGAAGCTCTTTTTTTAAAAGATGTTTAAACAGGCTGGAAAAATCTGTTTGCTGGCTGAGTGCAGCAGCTTATGCCTGTAATCCCAGCATTTGGGAGGCCAAGGCGGGTGGATCACCTGAGGTCACAAGTTCGAGACCAGCTTGGCCAACATGTCAAAACCCCGTCTCTACTAAAAATAACAAAAATTAGCTAGGTGTGGTGGCACATGCCTGTAATCCCAGCTACATGGGAGGCTGAGGCTGGAGAATCACTTGAACCCAGGAGGCGGAGGTTGTAGGGAGCCAAGACTGTGCCACTGCACTCCAGCCTGGGTGACAGAGCGAAACTCTGCCTAAAACAACAAAAAAAAAACCTGTTGCTAAGTTTAAACACATAGATTGAGGTTCTCATAGGTGACTTTTCATCGTTTTCAGCAACAATATCACATAACAAGGGAATCATGACCAAACATGCATTTAAAAGTACTTTCTCCATAGGATGTTTCTGTTGAAAACTAGTTACTTCCTCATTCTTCATATATCGCCTTTGTCCTGATTTTTTTTTTTTTTCCCACTTAAGCAAAACACTGAAACTTTAATTGAACCAGAATTACACCTGTCAAAGATCCAGGCGGTATACTCCTAACTCTTCTGTATAGCACCAGTTCCTTGTGAGGGGTTATTTCATCAGCCACCTGAGTAAGTGCTCCCGCTATCCCCAGATCAGCTAGAGACATCCCAAGCATGGCCGCCTCAGCGTCATGTCCAGGCATACCCAGGGTTCAGAATCGTGGGTTAGTACCACTTTTCCCACCACCCCCTTCTATTCCACAAAGCACTCACAGCCAGCAGGTTAACTCTTCCCTCCCCACCCCTACCAAACCCTGGAAAACCACAGAGAGCCTTTTTACAGCTCCTCTTTCTCAGCCCACTTCTTCTGGAAGGCAGTTAGGATGTTGAAGCTCTTCTGGAACTCCTCCTTCTTCCAGTCACTCAACTTGTTCTTCTCAATCACCCTGGCGATCCATGTCATCTCTGATGCTGGGAAGTCCTCCCCTGGGTCTAAGATTTTCCCTATGATCTTCAGGTGTTGCTTGGCCCAGTTCTTAGTCTCCCTCACACTGAGAGGTGGTCCTGCCCCTGTTTCAAGAGGGCCTGGCGGGCCTCCACTCCAGAGGCCCTGACGAACTCCCCAGCCAGGGCTGTATGCAGGCAGGCCACCAGGCATCCCTGGATAGACGCCTTTCCCCTTCAGCCAGCGCTGGATGGCTCCAACCTTAACTGCCCCCGTACAGGGGGCTGGGTTCTCAAAGTCCTCCTCCCAGAAGACGTAGAAGACCGGTAGCTCTCTTTGTGCAGCTTGCATTTCTCACTCAGCTCCACGTTCAGCTTGTCACCATAATCTGAGATCCCCGTCTCTGCCACCAAGAGATCATCGCTGGAAGCCAAGTTTTCAGGAAGACGCCTGAACTCATCCTGCTTCTCACCATAGCGGTACTGGGTGTCGAACTTCACCAAGACGAATCAGCTTTTGGGAATGACCTTGTAGAAAGTGACCGCATGCAGCGGAAGGGCGCCCTTGGTGTGCAGGCCGCTGCCGCCATGCGGACGGAGAGGAGCAGGAAGCCCAGGAGAAGGGGAAGCAGCGGGGAGAGAGACGCGGAGTGGGGCACGGGGGGGGGCACGGCAGCAGCCATATCGCCGGGTTCCGCAACGGGGAGGTGGGGAAACCGTTGTGGAGAACGGCCCAAGTCAGCAGTCTTTTGTTGTTTTTTTTTTTTGAGACTGGAGTGCAATGGTTCGATCTTGGCTCATCGCAACCTCCACCTCCCAGGTTCAAGCGATTCTCCTGCCTCAGCCTCCTGAGTAGCTGGGATTATAGGCACGAGCCACCACGCCTGGCTAATTTTGTATTTTTAGTAGAGATGGGTTTCTCTATGTTGGTCAGGCTGGTCTTGAAGTCCCAGCCTCAGGTGATCCGCCCATCTTGGCCTCCCAAAGTGCTGGGATTACAGGTGTGAGCCACCTTGCCCAGCCTGCAGTTTGTTTTTTTTTTTTAAATAGTTGTTAGGTAATCCCCTTTGTTCACACAGAAAGTTATGTAGAAGAAAAATGGAGAATATCTGTAATTCTCACAACTCTGAAGTATTTTGCCAAGAGATTAACAGCGTACTTCTGAATTATACAACAGATTCTCCTGGTCACTCTACCTCTCTTTACAAACATAAAGATTCCAGAGGCAGGATAATGTAGTAACTAAGAGCACAGTCTGGAGCCAGCCTGAGTTAGAATCCTGGCTCTGGCTGGGCGCTGCGGCTCACACCTGTAATCCCAGCACTTTGGGAGGCCGAGGAGGGTGCATCACTTGAAGTCAGAAGTTTGAGACCAGCCTGGACAACCTGGTGAAACCCCATCTCTACTAAAAATACAAAAAATTAGCTGGGCATGGTGGCGAGCACCTGTAATTCAGCTACTCAGGAGGCTGAGGCATGAGAATTGCTTGAACCCAAGAGGCAGAGGTTGCAGTGAGCCAAAATCATGCCACTGCACTCCAGCCTGGGCAACAGAGGAAGACTCCATCTCAAAAAAAAAAAAAATTCCTTGCTCCTCGCTCTGGCTCTGTTCACATCCCACCTGTGTGATCTCGAGAAAGCTGTTCCGTGTCCCATTTTTCTCATTAATAAAATGGCAATGCCAAGGGTGGCTTGAGGATTAGTGAATTTATATATGTAAACGGGTACAGTACAACA